AAATGTGTGCACGTGCCTGTCCACAGCTTCCCCCCAGCACAACTCTAGGCCGTTTAATCTCCGTTCATTTTGCTTCTTCAACAACAATTAAACGAACTGAATGAGTTTCCTTCAACTGAACAAAAAACAGGTTTGTAAAGCCAGGGAAGACAGAAAGAGGTGATAGGGTGATCATGGAATGCTCTGATAAAATTTCAGGAAAAGTTCCTTAAAAGAATCATAATTGAACTTTATTCTAATAAATATAAAAAGTTTTCGCTGAATTGCTTTCATGAACATGCTCAAGTTTCAGACACAGAAGTGCTCAAGCCAGGAAGTGCCATCCCTAACACATCTTGGTATTTGAAGCAGTAATTTTGTACGTTCAGGAATAAAACTTTATTGCCGCATCAGTGTTAGCCACACACTTTATGTTTTGGGGTTTGGCGTTTTTTTTCCAGAAAGATGACTGGTTTTTGTAAAGAGAAGTAAAAAATTCAAGCAATCCGAAGAAACAGGTCGAATGATGAGCGCGTGACTTTGCATTTGTAAAAACCAGGCAGCGTCGCAACGGAACCACAGCGCAGGGTACTAATATGGGAAATCTACTTTATCCTCGAGGAATTGTAGGTGCAGGGCTGGAGGTCAGTGTTACAAATTCTTCAGATCACTGGCCAGAAAAGTGCTCAGGCTTTCCAATCTCAGAGTTTGGGGTTTGGTTTTTTTTTGTTTGTGGGGTTTTTTTTAAATCTTTGAATCTCTCCACAGGAGAAAATCTTTCTTCTTGGTGGCCCCTTCTCCCCTCCCCAGTGTCTGAGGCAGGAAGCATTCAGGCTAGAGTAATGCCACACAGAGGATTTACAAAGAATGATTTGCAGCCTTCTAGGCAGAGCAGCATTTTCTAACTTCATTCGCATCAGTGAAGTTTTTAAATTTCGAAATAGGAAAAGCTTAAAAAACCTCACTTGTGTCCTTCCTCACAAGAAATCTGGCTTAAAAGGCCAACCAGGAGTATGATCCTGTTACGGAAAAAGGCTACTACCTGCTGCCAAGAACGTTTTCAAAACAAGTTTCTGTACAATATAAAAATTAACAGTAAAACCCAAAGTAAGGCAAGAATATAATTTCTGCTTACAAATCTAAAGTAAAAAAGTTCCAGTGGCAACCACTTGGAATCTCTCCTTTTTGCACATTCCATATGTTCACCGCAACCATCACGTTTAAGTGAAGTTTGTATTTCTAACCCATCTCACACCACCTCAAATCATCCTTGCCCTGCAATGCTCAGGGACCATTCAAAGCCTTAAAATTACATTCACCTGAATCAGCCAAAAAACTATTTCTTGGACATAATTGATCTGACAGACACAAAGGGAGTGTTTTACTGGCCAATTAAAAAAGAACTACTTACATGAGGATGCCTATAAGGGCAAGTATTCTTGGAGTCCCTCGAGAAGAATTCCAGCTAATCCGTCTGACACAACGACAGATTTCGTTATTTCATGAAGCGAGCTGGCCACGTGATGGAGCAGGGCTTGCCATGTAGAGGATAGTAACAAACAAACCGTATTAAAATTTATGTGGGGAGGGGGGAAAAAAAGCCACTCATTTATACACATTTAGCTGCTTTTACAGAAATGTCTGTATTTTAAGGGAAAAGGAAATTGTAGCACAGGAAGAAAAAACAAAATCAAAAAGATCGCTGGATTAGCTTTAGGCATTTGATCTGCGCAGAAGATGTCCATCAGATATGTTTGACATTCACACACACCGCCTGACACCAAGGAACACGCTATGTAACGCACGGGAAAACAGCTAGCAAGCCTCCCTAAA